TTAAAAATAAAACTTAATGGTAATTTATTTTATTTTGGTAAAGTATATTCAGCTTATATTAATTTTAAGAAACAAAAGAAATTAACTTTCAAGTTTTAAAATTTTAAAATAATTTATATATGGACATTTTGTAAATAGTTTCAAAACATGAATATATTTAATTTTGTATAATTATAAATATTTTATTATTTATATTTTAATATTTATAAGTTTATTATATATGTTAATATATTAATAAGAATCAAAAATAATAATAAGCAAAGTTTTAATCAGAGAAGATGAAAAAGTAAAAAAATTGCTTTAGTCTAGTGGTTGATATGTCTATTTTAAATAATGACAAGGCTCGAGTTCGAATCCCGGAATGTTCATATTTTTAAAAAAATAATGAAATCGAAACGACATCGTTTTATCATTTTAACGGTTGACTAACTTCTGTTACGGTCAATGTAGGTTTAGGCACATTTTAACAAGTTCAGGTAGTATTTTTGAATTATAATGTAGTTCAGGTCGTATTTAGCACTGGATGTTTGTTCGGGTTGTATTTGGCACGATTGAAATTGTTTGGGTAGGAATAGACCCGACGTCGGTTTATCATTTTAACGGTTGACTAACTTCTGTTACGGTCAATGTAGGCTTAGGCACGTTTTAAAAAGTTCAGGTAGTATTTTTGCATTATAACGTAGTTCAGGTCGTATTTGGCACTGGATGTTTGTTCGGGTTGTATTTGGCACGATTGAAATTGTTCGGGTAGGAATAGGCATTTTTCCCAGAAAAAGAGACTCTCTTCCTCTCTTCAATATCTTTTAGTCAGAAAGAAAAAACATTTTTTTGGAAAAGCTAATTTAACTTCTACTTCAAAAGACCTCTTTCTTGGAAAAGCTCAAACATAGCCGCACCAATCTTAGCCGGTGACTCAACGACCTTAACTCCAGCGTCTCTTAGGCTCTTTATCTTGTCTTGAGCCGTGCCCTTAGCACCAGAGACAATGGCTTCATCGTATCAAAAGAGAAATTACAAGATTTAGTCCCGGTAGTGAAAAAGGATGTGTATGAATGAAAAGAGTCAAGTAAAAGTTTGTTTACCTCCAGCATGACCCATTCTACGACCAGGTGGTGCGGTGAGTCCAGCAATGAAAGCAACTACAGGCTTGTCTACAACTATATGTTCTTTAACTCTCAATCATCTAAGAAACGGAAACCTCTTGTTTCTTTTAAGTGTACCACAACACTTTTATCATTGCAAATGGCAACTGACTAAGAGGAGAAAAAATGAATAAAAATAAATTATGGTGTCAAGAAACCGAGACCTTCTGTTTGAGGATCAACAAAGAACTTCTCCAAGCAGTCAACAAAATTTGTGCCGTTAAATGGATCTCCACCAATTCCTACACATGTAGATTGTCCCAGACCTACTGCTGTAGTTTGGAAAACCTACATAACCAAAAAAGCAACCATTATCAAGCAGTTCTTCCAGCAAAATCATCATACAACTTAAGAAAGTGACATCCTCAAAAGCTTAATCAAAACAATCCGAAATGAGTATCATTTCTCTTTGTGAAAAGACAATACTATAAAATAATTTAATTATCTAACTAAGCCATCTGGATTTAAAGGAAAGCTAAAGGCCATGTAGACAACAAACTGGAAAAGACAGAGACAAAGAGAGCCAAACATGAAGGAAACACAAAGAACCTTACAGCTTCATAAGTCAATGTACCAGACCGAGAAACAATCCCTATCTTCCCCGGCTTGTGGAAGTACCCTGGCATGATCCCAATCTTGCATTCACCAGGTTTGATAATCCCAGGGCAGTTAGCTAGGACCAATCAACCTAGTTTTTGTCTGACTGTTAAGAGCAGCCTTTACACGAACCTACATTCAGATAAAAATCAGTAAACCCACTTATGTATACTACTCTGCAAACCTATTAAAAACCATAACCATTCTTATTACCATGTCATGTTGAGGAATCCCTTCAGTAATGCAGACAACAAGATCTAACTCAGCGCGGGCAACATAGATAACAGAGGCATTGGCTTTTGTCTCAGCTTTAGCTTCAGCAACGGTATTAAAAACAGGAAGACCAAAATGCTCTGTTCCACCCTTCTTAGGTGTCACTCCTGCTGCATATTCATCAAACAACACAAAACTAAAAAAAACATCTCATCACAAGCTTTAAAAACCAAAAAACCCTAATCACAGAATAATGCAATCAATCAGATTCCAAGTTAATTTGAGAAAAGAAACAGTAAAGTCTCGTGCTTTATGATCTACTCCCTCCGTTTCATAATAAGTGTCATTGTAGAGAGAAATTTTCGTTACAAAATAAGTGTTCGGTTTTCAATGCAAAATTTATTAACTTTATGCTAAAATTTATTTTTCTATTGGTTAAAATATGGTTATGTGTATAGGTAATTGTGTTTTTATATAGGAAATATACAAAATTAATTGTTTTCTTAATTCGTATGCTGAAGTCTAAAATGACACTTATTATGAAACAGAAGGAGTATTAAGTAAAAATTTTGAGAGAAGAAACACTAAAGTCTCGTGCTTTATGGTTTATTAAGTTAAATTTTGGGAGACTAAACAGTTAGGCCTGGGCATTTTACCCAGACCCGAAGACCCGGCCCAGAACCGACCCGAAAATGTGCGGTTCGGATATGAACCGAACCGATCATTTTACCCTATTGGGTCTTGATGTGGAGGACCCGCGGATTTTGGACCCGAACCGGCCCGAACCCGAGACCCGATAGGGTACCCTAAATATCCAAAAACTTCTAGTATATATTATGTATATATATATATATATATATGTTTTAGTATTTTATAGTATTATGAGTATTATTTTATGTTTCGGATTTGGGTTTTCGGATATAATTAGGGATTTTAAGTAAAATTTTAGGTTTTTAAAAATATAATTCGAATAATCAGAGAAAGTTTTGGATATTTTTGTATTCGAGTCAGATCTTGGGTAAAATTTCAGGTGTTTTTTGGGTATTTAAATATTTTATGGTATTTTTGTGTGTTTTAGGTATTTTTTGGACCATACCCGGTAGGACCCGAACCAAGCCCGACCCCAAACCGAACCGATAAATTCTAATTACCCCTTTGGGTCCAACTATATAAGACCCGAACCGACCCGGATCCGGTAGGACCCGAACCGAACCCGAACCGACAAAGTGTAATTACCCTATTGGATCTAAATATCTAAGACCCGAAGGACCTAGACCCGACATGACCCGACCCGAACCCGATCCGAACCGGAAAATGCCCAGGCCTATAAACAGTAAAGTCTCGTGCTTTATGGTCTATTAAGTTAAATTTTAGGAGAAGAAACAGTAAAGACTCGCGCTTTATGGTCTATCTATATCAAGCAGAAACGAGAATAGCTTCGAGCAATAATGTTAAGCTCGTAGAGTTTATACCATTTTGGTGCCGTATTCGATGGCTTGTTCAGTGTGGAAAGTCCCGTTCTTTCCGGTGATACCCTGGCAGAGGACGCGGGAGGCGGAGGAGTTGTACCGAAGGAGCGAGATGAAGTGAGAGAGGAGCATGACGGGTTTAGCTCTGAGGTGGCGTTAGAAGAGCGGAGTTTGGAGGAGACAGAGCCGAGAAGTTTTGTGACTCGCCGAGACATGGCTTTTTACGATGATCGGAATCTTGTTACTGAAGAACCTTAAAGAAGGAAGCTGGAATGGATTGTTTTTTTTTCAGCGATCTCGAAGTGACGAAAGTTTATGGGCCTTGTTGAATTGATTTATTTATAAAAAGCCCATTAAGATTTGAAATGTTTTTAGAGAAGCCCATACACGATTTATATGAAAAGAGTTTGTATAAATCTATGTTATATGGAAACGGAAACAGGTGCTTGGAAACGGAATTATATGGAAACGCGGAATCGATATTTTAAAAAAATTAGGAAGCGGATACGTATTGGAATCGTATATCCAAATATATATATATATATATATAAGATAATTTCTAAAATAATTTATAACTAAGAATTATATGATTCTAATTTACAATAAATCATTTATTCATTTATTATAATTTTAAATGATTGCATATTATAATTATGAAAATATGGATAAATTAAGTTTATAACCAAATATTATCAATTAGTTATTTTAACATTTTATAAATAATTGGCACAACATATTTGAATATATATACTGTATATGATATATCTCTAATAGAAAAAGTGCATACATATGATTTATAGTATTAATTTTGGTATTTACATATATATAGATTCTCACTATATATACTATTTTATACTGTAAAGACCTAAAAATGATTTTATATATCATTTATTTATATAAAATATTGTGTTTTTGAATTGGAAGCATGATTCCAAAGTGGAATCGTAAGCTTGCAACGTGTTTTTATATAGGTTATTTTAGAAGTGTTTTGAAATCGAGATTCCGTAAGCTTCCACAAGATTCCGATTCTAATTCCAGTTCCAAAGCGGAAAGCGCACCTCCGATGAAGCTTCCGTGCAACGTAGGTATAAATTGACGAATTTATTGATTTAATATCGGTTAAAATACAGTATATCTCAAAATGCACAACAAAAACTTAAAATTATTTTTAACCGATATTAAATCAATAAATAAATTTCCATGCAACGAAGCGGAAAGCGCACAACAAAGTTGAAGCTTTTTTAAAAATAATTTTAAGTTTTTGTTGTGCATTTTGAGATATCTGATATTAGAATTTGCATAAATAATAAATTTAAGCTTTTTAAAAAAATAATTTTAAGTTTTTGTTGAAGTTTTTAGTATAAATATCTTTTTGATAGAATGTTCTGACTTCTCAGTGTTTTAACCAAAAAAAAAAAAGAATAAATTTTCAAATTTATGACATTTCACGCCATGATTGATGATCCTCAGCCTTAAACTTTTTATTCCTATGAATGGATAACATCACAAAAAGTTCAAACTCTTTTTATTGCCCACCAAACAAAAATTTTTGTCCTCTTTTATTCATTTTTTTTTAAACTGATCCTTTATTCAATTTCCTCTAGATATTTTCAACTCACATTTGGAACTTTCTTTTTGCGTCTCAAAATAAATATCTTCCTGTTAAAGAATAAAGAAAAAGGTTGTAACTCTGTATATCTTATTCATCACGTGCACATACATATATATACATACAAGAGAATAAGCATATTCCTTAGGAGATAAGGATTACAACAATAAAGGGGATGATTATCCTAATCCTATAATGATTAGGATAACTACAACATATGGATAAATACAAGGGAGGATAATGACAAGT